GCTCTTCCCGGGTGAGGCACATCAGTCGCCGGCTTCTGGACGGCTGCTATCGTAGCCCATGGCAACCCACTGCCACAGGGGCTGCAGCCTACGCCATCGCTGGCGACTCACAGCAGCCCAGCTCCAGGTTGAGCTGTTGTTCAGCATCTTAGCTGTGGAGGGCAGTGTCACTGGTCCTCATATGTGGGATTGGAGCCGGGGCCCTCTGGCGTCCCAAGCCAGTTCTTAACCATCGGGCCACTCGGCCGGCCCCAGAATCAATGTTAATGGCACTAATTCTGCTAACAAAAGAGTGTTTTACAGACAGCTGCTGTATCATTCCCATCAACATACAAACATATTGTAATTTCTCCAATCTTAAAAAAAAAAAATCCTCTCTTGACTTCACATTCCACTCCAGGAACCACACCATTTCTCTGATCCACTTGCAGCGAAATTCCCTAAAAGAACTGTTTACCAGTTGCCTCCCAACCTTCTCCTGTCAGCTTCTCTTGAGCTATTCCAAAAAGGTTTTTCTGACACCACTCTATTCAAAGGTTATGAATAACCTCAAAATGCTAATCCTCATCTCACTTGACCTATCAGCAGCACCTGGTGTACGTAAAACACTCTGAAATACTTTCCTTACTTGGCTTATAAGACACTACACTCTTCTGGGGTTTTTTACCTTACTAGATGCTCTTCTCAATCTGCTACGCTGGTTCTTCCGCAGGTCCACAATTTCTACCCATTAGAGCACCCACCCAAGTCTCAGTCCTTGGACCTCCTCTCTTTTCTATCTACACTCACTTTCTTAATGTTCTCATATAGTTTCATGGCTCCACTAGAATGAAGCTTCAACAGGTAGGGTTTTTTTATTTATTTATTTTATTTTTAGCTATTTTGTTTATGCTGAATGTCCTGCACCTAAAACAATGCCTGTCATGCATTGGGTGTATGACAAATATATGATCAATGAATGAATGAATGAATAAACAGCTTTAAATATTATCTATAAACCAATGACTCCAATTTTTATACCTCCTGCCTAGATCTCTGTCCTGAACTCCAACTGCCTATTTGCTATCTCCACTAGGATGTGTAATAAACATCTCAAACTTAACCAAGTTCAAAAGAGAACTCCAATCCCCTCCCCAATGATTTCTCTGACTGACTTCACTTGCTTAGCAAAGTGCAGCAGCTCCATCCTTCTAGTACCTTAAGCCCAAAATTTGAAATCATTCCTAATTCCTCTTTCTCTCACACCACATATCCAACCTGCCAACAAATACTATGGATTCTGTCTTCAAAGTACATTGAGCATTTTTTGACTACTTCTCACCAAGTCCACCACTATCACTATGGTCCAAGCCATTACTACCTCCCGCCTGGAAGAATGCAACAGCCTCCTAACTGGTCTTCCTGCTTCTTATCCACCTGCACCCCTCCGATTCAGTCTGTTCTCACAACCAGAGAATTTTTTTCAAACTTAGATCAGATCATGTCATATCTCTGCTCATAATCCTGCAATTACTCCCACTTTGCTGTGAGTAAACGCCCAAATCTTAACAATTGCCTGTAAAGCTCTACTCCATCTGGCCCTATTACATCTCTGACCTCATCGACTCCAATACTCTCACGTCTGCTCCAGTCCTATTGGCTGCTTCTGCTGTTTCTTCCAAAAGTGAAGCACATTTCCACCTCGGGGACCTTTCCCTTGTGTTCCCTTTGCCTGGAATGCTTTTCCCCGAGATACCCACAGTCCATATTGGCTTCACCTTTTTCAACTGCCACTTTCTCTGAGTTTTTCCCAATCACCATATTTAAAATCACAACTCTAATCCCACTCTCTTGTATTCTTCACCCCCTTCCTGTTTCGTGTTTCTCCACAGCATTTATCACCGCCAAATACTACACATCTTACTCTCTAGTACACACGCTTGAAAAGGACAAGGATGTTTGTCTGTTGCATTCACTGCTCTATCCCTGGAGTTTAAGGCAATGCCTGGTGCGCATGACGCTTTCATTTCCACCAGGGGGCCTAACGATCAACTAGCCTGGTATTTCGGGGGGGGGGGGGAATCAGCAAGCTCTCCGGGGTTTCTCCCACCGCTCTGATCCCTAGAAGGATTACGCTTTGCCTAGAAAGAAAAACTGTGCTTTGTCCAGTCAACCACAAGGAGGAGCTGAGAGGCAGAGCTGAGCAAAGAGAAACCAGATGTTCCCCTTGCTTTTCCTACAGCAACCTCCAGGTGGAAGGAAGGAAACTGGACTGGGAGGCGGCGGTATTGAATGAATGATTTTTAGGATTTACCGAGACACACACAAACGTCAACGATAGAAAAAACACAATCCTTTCCAAATGCCACAAAGAGGACCCCCCCACCCCCCAAAAAAAAAGCCACCCACGGGCCACGAAAAACTGGGAGGGTGTCTCTTTAACTCCACCAGGAACTCCCGATAAATCCAGGGAAGGGTTCCCACAAGCACAGACACGAAATTCACACGCGGAGGCCAAGGCGCCCCGGGGTGCCAGCGCTCCCCAGCCAGAGAACTCCGGTTCACACTTACAGCATCTACAATCCTTCCAACGGCACGAGCGAGGCGCTCCCAGACGGAAGCGCTCAGACCGGGCCGCTCGCAGGTCAAGCCCTGATTCATTCCACACCGCAATCGGTCCCCCCCGGGGTTGGGACTCACCGCCACCTGTTGATGCCCACATTGGAGGAGCCGGCGAACCAGGGGTCGAGGATGTAGACGCAGCGGATGGTGTCGGCGCCCTGAATGCACTCCTTCAGGGCGGGGTTGTCGTGCAGCCGGAGCCCCTTTCGGAACCAGTGCACGGCGTTCACCCCCATCCCGGCGGCGCGGCGGGCGGGCGGCCACCGCCGAGTTCCTCCACAGAGAGATTCAAGCGACGAGGGTCCGGCTCATCCCTGCCTCCTCCGCCTCCAGGAGAATCGCCGCGGCCGAAGGAGTAAGGACTGGGCGGCAGAGCCGGGAGAGGAAAAAATGAGTCCGAGGAAGGGACCAGAGAGGGAGAGGGCGCTGGAGGCGCAGCTGGAAGATGAAGGGTGGTTGCCCAGTCAGTGGAGTCCGGGTGTGACGCCCTTTAGGAGCCGGCGCCCGTCGCAACGGCCTGGACGAGTCGCATAACTTCCAGGTCCTCGGACCATCAGAGGGTGAGCAAGTTCCAAGCGCTGAAGCCTCCACGACAACCCGAGGCCGCACCCGCAGCCCCGGGAGATTCGTCACGGAAACCTCACCCCACCGAGACGGCCCCTGAGCAGAAAGCGGCCCGCCCCAGGCGAGCCCGTGAGAGGGATGAGCGAAGATCCGGACACTGTTGGCCACGCTGCCTCTCGGCCCAGAGACGGGAGTGAGTGCGGAGCGCGGAGGCGGTGGTCCAGGCCGCTGGACGGTTGCCGGCGGGTGACCGGTCCCGAGGCGGCCCGGGTGACTCCGCCGCCACCACCGCGTCAGAGGCCCCGGCCCCGCCTCCGGCTCCTCATTGGAGGGCGCGCTCACCACGTGACCACCGGCACCTCACGTTTCTGAAATGTGTTTACTACAGCGGCTCTGACTGGGGAATGTGCTTGCGCTTCGGTTGCTTCTAGGGGGCGGCAGCCGTTAGAGCTCAAAACCGTCGATCCTCGCCCACACTCTGGGCTCTCTCTCTCTCTACTCCTTTTCTCGGCTGACTGGTCGCAGTTGCCTGGATGCACCCCCGGTGATCACAGGCCCCACGTGAGGGAAGACTTAGCCCCGCCTCCGGGGGCCGCGAGCGCCCACCATTGGCTGAGGCTCGCTGAGACCCGGATGAGCACGGGGATGCGGGGAGCTCGCGGGGGCGCGCTTTGCTCAGGCAGGGGCGCGTGCGCTCTCGCGGCGTTCCAGAGGGAAGTAGGTCGGGGTCGGCGGGCGGGAGCGCGCTCAGGACTCCGCTGGCGGGGGTCCCCGGAAGGTCTGAAGATGCCCTGGTGCCGGTCAAGAGTCAGCGAGGGGTCCCAGCGGGGAGTGAGGGCAGGATGGAATGGGAGGAGGAGAGTTGGAGGTCCCACGTCGACTTTGATCCCAAATCATGTGCTTCAATCAAGCTTTGTGCAGAGAACCCTACTTTGGTGTGTGGGGAGCTGGTGCCCCAACATTCTGGACCTCTCCGCGCTGTACCTTTGGACTTGCTCTGGGGAACAGTGGTAATTGGCAGGGCGAATGCCAAGCATTCCTAGACTTCTTGTATTTTTGTAATACTAGCGACAGATCATCAGTATGTCAGCCCCAATCTCTTACATTTCTCTTACAAAGAGCGGTTTACAGGGCTCTTCCTGATGGGGCCTTTGCCCACCTATCCAAGGACAGTGAGCTACAAGCCATGCCATTCCTTATTTATGTGATGCCCTTGTATTTATTCAACAATTACTAAATGTGCTGTAGGGGCAAGAGAGAAGAAAATAGGCTAAAATCCCAGTCCTCTGTGGAGTTTACAATCTGTATCTCTTAATCTTTACATGTGCTTTTTTTTCCTCTGTAAAGTGCTCTTCTTTGGAATCTGCTGCTCACTACAACCACCTTTACCGAGCATAGTTCTGCACATTCCTTTAGACTCAGATGAAGTGCAACCTAATTTCTGAAAATAACCCCATCCCCAGAGCAGATTTAGGACCTCACCAAATCCCTCAGGCCTGTCTCTGATACATCACTTATCACACTATGGTCAAGATTGAATGAAAAGTGCCTACTTGAACACCAAGCGTGAAGTAGGTGCTTAATAATGGTACTTATCTTTATATTGTGTCTGTGCTTCCCGCTAAAGTGTAACATCTCAAAGACAGGCTCCATCCATTTCTCTTTTTTTCAAGTCCTGGTACAGAACCTGACACATACGCGATGTTTATTCAGATATTTATTGAATGAATCAATGCTGTTTGCCACCAGTGTGTTTGGCAAGGTTAAAAGGAGGAAAGATACGGCAATTGCTACTGGTTGAATTGTGTCCCTGTAACATTTACGTAACCCCTAGCACCTGTGAATGTGACCCTGTTTGGAAATAAGGTCAAGTTAAGGTGAGGTCATTAGGGTGGGCCCTAATCTAATACGACTGATCTCCTTATAAAAAGGGGCAATTTAGACACAGACCCACACAAAAGGAGAATGCCATGTGAAGAACAGAGTGATGCTGCCACAGGCAAGGAACTGTGTTGTGTACTGGAAGCTAAGAGAACAACAGCCTGGAACAAATCCTTCCCTAGTGCCATTAGCAGGAGCACAGCCCTGCCAACACTTTTGTTTTCAGACTTCTGGCCTCCAGAACTGTGAGTCGATAAATGCCTGCTGTTCTAAACCACTCATTTTGTTTAGCAGCACCAGCAAACTAGTAACAGTCACCTGGTGAGTCAATATACTATCTGGATAGTATTCCCTACCCCTGCCTCTGTTGCCACACAGAGGGCATAGTATCCTTTCTTTGGTTTCCGAAGAACATTTAAACTTTTGTATATGAAAACCCTTTGTTCACTATAAAGTATTAAACAAATAGTAATTTTTATCAATGGGGATGATCCTTGGGTAATTACCACTCTGAGGGGTCCATCACCTATGCAGAGGATGTGGCATATAGAGTTGCGCCCTCACCTGGATTGCCTCATACTCCGGGGCCTATTGTACTTTTAAAAAATGCAATTTCATGTTTCATTCCAGGCAGTGTGAAAGTAAGCAGATTGTGTCTAAAGACATAAGAATTGTTTTCAAGCATCCAAATGAAACTGTGGGCGGTAGAGAAAGAGAATATTGATTTGTGTAGAGTTGACTTATGTTTGCCGATTGTTCATTTAATAAAGATGGATTTTTTTTAACTGGCAGCTGTATGTGGGTGTGTGTGTAATTTTCATTTACACATAAAAGTACTATTTATTATAAAAGTGTCGGTATTGTCAGCTGTGCATTCCACAAGACAAGGGTTTTTATGGCGTGAAAATGGTTACTTTAATATATCATTGTTATTGGGGAGGAGTAACCATTTAATAATAGTTATGGCTTATTGAGCACCTACTGTGTTCCAGGCATTCTATATAGGTTATTAACCCTCATAATAGTCTTTTGAAACAGCTTATTATTCAGTAATAATTTATACCCACATTGCTGAAGACACTAAAGCTCAGAAATACAAACAAGTAATAAAACTAGATAAAAAACCAAGACCATTTCTGAATCCAAGCTCTTTTTTTATGATATACTACCCTCACTGACACCACCACTTCCCTTCTTTTTCAGAGTGAGTATTTGCACATAAAGGGGGAAAGAGAGATGGGGAGCATTTCAGGAATCTCGTGAAATTCTGCTGGGCTCCAACATCATGATGACAGAAGGACTATGGTTCTGGGTTCAATTTCAGCTCGCCATTAATTAGTTTACTTTAACAAGTCACTTAGGCTTTCTTGATCTGGGTAATTCATCTATAATTCATCTATAAAATGAAAAGAAGTGGATGTCTTCTAAGTTTTCTATGCTGTTTTAAAATTCCAGGATTCTGTTGACACAACCCTGCCATGGGCTCAAAAATATCTAAGAAGAGTTCTGTTAAACATTCTTCTAACAGCCACCAATGTTAGAAAAATCAATATCTCTTTGCTTTCATGAGCACCCTTCATAAAAGTATGTCAGCTTTTAAATTGAAAGCCTGTGTTCTCTCTTGATCCCATCTTACAGAAGTGATTTTTTTTTGGCATGCGTTATCAACACACAAATAAGGAGTAGACAGTATGATCAGCTCATTCAGTCTTGACGTGATGTGAATGTTACGTTGGTAGCCCTTGGCTGAGGAACCCCCCAACACTAGAGTCTTTGAGGGATTGAATTTAAATGTGTTAAAGGATCACTATTTTTTTAAGGTAAATTATGACTCATATGACTATAAAATGAACACATGTCAAAGATTTCACTTAATTTGTTGATTAGTGAGGGACCCAGTAAGATGTTACAATGAAATAAAAGAAGATTTCAAAGAGCAGTTACATACAGAGGGTGCCAAAAAAAATGTATACACAGGGCCGACGAGTGGCTCGTTGGTTAAGAGTTGGCTTGGGAGCGCGAGTTCTGAGCAGCAGGGCCGCCGGTTTGGATCCCACATGGGCCAGTGACATTGTGCCCTCTACAGCTAAGATAGTAAACAACAGCTCAACCTGGAGTTGGGCTGCCGTGAGTCACCGGTGATGGCATAGGCTGCAGTGAGCTGCCGTGAGCTACTGTGAGTGGCCAGCAGCCAGTGTGAGCGGCTGTCCAATGGCCGGCGACCCATCTGCCTCACCCAGGAAGAACGCAATGATAAACCAACATGGGCCAGTGACATGATGCCCTCCACAACTAGACTGAAGAACCAAAGGACAGCAACTTGTCTGTTCCCCTTCCCTGATTTCCCAATGCTGTTCCCCTCACCCAATTCCCGAATAAAAATCTTAAAAAAAAAGTATACACATTTTAAGAAAGGAAACCTGTATTAAAGTTGTAATACTCAATATATACCAATAACAAAAGATGAATACAAGTCACGTTTGACATCTGCAATTAACAAGAGGTACTGAAAGTGGTTACCATCAGCATCCAGACACTTTTTTTTTTTTTTAAAGATCTTATTGGGGGATTTGGGGGAGGGAAACAGACAAGTTGCTGTCGTTTTGTTCTTCAGTCTAGTTGTGGAGGATGTTGCTTCACTGGCCCATGTTGGTATTATCATTGTGCTCTTCCCCGGTGAGGCAGTCGCTGCCGGCCATTGGACGGCTGCTCATAGTGGCTCACGGCAGCTCACGAAAGCTCACACCCGCTGCCGACCAGCCCCACTGCAGCCTACGCCGTCGCTGGCGACTCACGGCTGCCCAGCTCCAGGTCGAGCTGTTGTTCACCATCTTAGCTGTAGAGGGCGCAGCGTCACTGGCCCTCATGTGGGATCTGAACCGAGGCCCTGATGCTCAGAGCTGGTGTCCCAAGCCAACTCCTAACCAACGTGCCACTCGGCCAGCCCCAGACACCTCTGATTATGGCGAACTACTGCTTGAGCAATGTTGACCAAGGTGTCCACTTGTATACATTTTATTGGCACCCTGTACATAAGCCATCAGGAATGTTAAAAATGAATTTGCTTAATATATGCAAAACTGGATTCTTCTACAGAGGGGTGAGGAGGGAAATCAATTGCACTTGCACAGGACAAAATATATTTGCATGTCCATGGACAAGGTTCATTTGCATTGCTAACAACCAGCTACAATTTACAGAGTTGTAAACCAGTTCCAATATAAAAACAGGCAGAGAGTAATTGGAAGGGTGCAATTCACAAATGATCCAGTAAATTTTTTTTGTCTGTTTCAAAGTCATTCATAATTTTTGTCACCTCCTCACAGAGGTCTTCCAGGTGACCCATTCTGAAAAGGGTCCTTTTCTTTGTTTTTGTCATAGTTCCCTATTTACTTTCATCAGAGCACTAATCATATCTTGTGGACAGAAAAGGGGCCACATGTTAAACCTGACAAGCTCAGGGGAGGCCTATATAGTGGGCCCTACATACTCAGAGACCAAAAATAACCCGCAAAGGATGGCTTGAATAGAAAACTTCCTAACTAAGGTGGGTCTTGGCAGGAAGTTACATCTTTAGCCTGAAGCTTCCTTGATAAGGTCAAGCTTTACTTCAAGTTGTCTTTTTGTATCTAAGATAACATACCCTTGGAATGTCAGTAATCCCTTTTGTTGGATCCCCTCCCCACCCAAGGGCATAACCC